GGGCGATGAGCAAATGTCTTTCCTGAAATTTAAGGAGCAAAGTAATATTAACAACTTTATTTCTAAATCTAACCCTTTCCTCTTTTTTATCAACGTCACAAGATCACACAATTAGGAACAAATTTTACAGGAAATATTTCAACATGCGGTGCCAAGGAAGGCCAGGCTTCAAATACGCGAACAATAAATTTTAACATATAAACATTAGGTATATTGGACATGAAAAGTGTATATAGAAGGAAACCAAAATATTCACAGGAAACGAAATTTACGTCAATCCCGCGAGAATGGTATTTATTTATCGGCTTCCATAATTATTGGCTCGCATCTCGAATGTAATTTTTTTCATTTAGCCATTGCCAGATAATTACTTACAAATCGGGAAAGGTTCTACGGTAAACTTGTCCTACGCTGACCCTCTTCGGCAATGAAAACTGTTATTCCTGACTCGTAATTCCTGTGTCAAGTCCAAATTACAGTTCCTTGTTCCCTAAGTACGGCCTTCGGTCGTGCTGCGATTCAAGCCCCTGAAGTAAAGCCCTTTCGATCACCACTTTTTGGGCCGATTACGTCCAACGAGGATAAATAAATTTCCCTCAAAATTCTGCTAGGATTCAGGGAAGTGAATTCGATTGAGGAAGTGTCTCTGTGGCTCGTGACTCAGCACTCACTCTAAGCAAACGGCCTGAGTGTATTCATCTGTGCCTACAGCAGCCTTCCATGGGCCCGTTGTATACGTGCCTCAATCATGTACCAATTGCCTTACGCACACGCAATAGTTTAGAAAACTATATGATACTCCTCAGATTGCCAACTTGAGAAATTGGCATCACTGAACTGAAATCAAGCGTGAAATTTCAAAAATTTTTAAGTAGTTGTTTCAATGCTAATTCGAAAGTCTCCGGAGTGAAAACTTTTTTACTCGACATAAAGTTTTTCGCAAATTTCTTAAAGGAGATTCAATCTTAATATTAATAAATTCATTTCTCGAAGCATGTTGTGAACCTACTCAAGATATTTTACATATTGTGAGCGTATAAATTAAAATGCCACATCATCATTTATCGCGCTGAGTTTTGAAGGCAGCGGCGGTTGATTGGTTGCCTGGAATGCAGAGCCACGTCATACGCGGGTAGCATTTCCTCTCTTAGAACAGGTAAAATAGAGAGGCTATATTTTAATGAACAAGGAAACGCCGACTTTATCGTATTCCTGAGACGACACGACTAATGTGGCTGCCGCTTTACGCGTTAGGTCCAAATTTTTGGAGGTCATTGGAATGATCCTTCGGTGGAAAGTTAGTTACAAGGAAGTCGGTATTTTTTCCGTGACTAAACATTTTGCATTGTTTCCTCCTTAGAGTCATTTTATATCATGCATTGAAATAGAGATGACACTTTCGTTGGGACTTTTTCCTACGCATTTGCTTGAAAATCCAGGCAAGGTTAATCATGTTAATTCAGTCGAATCATGCGACTGAGTACAACTAAGTTTAGTAGAAAATTTCTTATTCCCATTTCTATAAAATTGATTATATAAGACAACTTCTGACTACAAGGTTGTAATATTTTACCGGTATTATTTGTAAAGGCAGAGGAGATCTTATGTATATATGAGGTTGAAGGTGAGAACCGTCCATGTTCATGGGAAATGGTTTGGAATGGTCTGGTAAAGAACTTTTTGACTCTCACTACCTTCGTCCTGTGTACTGTGTAGACAACTATCCAAACATGCGTGATCTGAAAATGACTATCCTGTGAATATGGCAACATGTATGTAAAAATGACGACAATGACGACTTAGTCATTCCAGTTGGTGTGAGCTTCATATCCTTTAATGTATTGGCATGCATGCATGGTCGGAGACGGACTATCCAGTGAATGTGACGACAAAAATGTTTACTTCATCATTCCATTGAGTGCGATTTTCACATCCTTTCATGAATGGCCTGAGAACAACTATTCTGAGTTTGACGGCACAAAATCTTTACGTCTTCATTCCAGTCGATAATATGGTCGATATATGGTCCAGTCGATAATATGGTCGATATATAAATCGACCATATCAAGCAAGCTTAATATGGTCGATAAATATCCTGTAAATAGAGCTGAGAACTCCTCAATGAGGATTTATGTTACAATAAAACTTCTATTTTGATTGGGATACTGGGAAGTGTTATTTGTAATTAGTAATTAATTTAATGATTTTTGCAAGCGCAGCGGAAAGAATGGGTAAGATGGGACCGTCTGTACTAAACCACATAAAAAAGCCGCGACACATCAAAGCGATGTCAACTCAAGCAGTGACCACGTACTTAGAATTTTTGCGTGTAAAAAATCAAAATTAATGATCTAATTTGACCACAGGCAAACGCATTGAGTTCAAAAAAATTACTGTAGATTAGATCAACATTGATTAAATTATTGAAAATTAGATGAATGTAATATTTATTTCGAATTGAAATACATACTACATTGATTTCTCATCAACATCTGGTTTGACTAGTAAATTCAGAACCAATTTTTCGTGGGATAGTTAATAATAATTATTTCCACTGTAACTGGCAAAAATGAGGTACTCACTGTGAAAATAATAGTGTGGCAAATCATCGCAAATATTTCACCAACATTTGCATTACATATTAATGATATAGACGTCAGGTATGAATTTTCCAAGAGGATATATATTGTAGTGGGAGACTTAGAGGCTTGTTTGTAATGGTGTAGTAGAAAAAATTCTTCAAATATTTACCAACAAGACAAACTATGTCGACCTTCTCCGCCTTCGCGTCAGGCAGCAACCGCAAGCTTTTGTGAAGGAATTTTAATCCTCCTGATCGCATTTTCTATCATTCAGGGGAAAACGTTTCATTTTCCAAACTTCCGTGAACAACGAGGACTAATTCATGAAAATAATATGATAGGTACACAAACACTGTTATAATTCTTTGGTTGTGCGAATACAGTACCGTACATCTAAACTTGTAATAACCTTCATAGACTTGATAATTATTAATCACTCGGGCAAGGGTCGAGGTGCGAATTATCAACGAGGTGACGCCAAGAAACTGCAGCACGATGTTTTATTTACCTATAGACCTCCGCCAACTGTCACCGTGTCATAACCATGGAATAAATACGCATTTTTTGTCCCTCATTTGACATGTGTCATTCACATAACCAATATTATTTCGTAAACTTATAAGTAAGCAGAAAATATGCCAGACATACCAAACGAGGCTTCTGTATCGAGCTTGAAACACTGACGAAAGTATGCATTGAATGGCACTATCTTCTACACAGAGCTTATGCATTGAAATAAATAAAAATCTTATCTTGCAATTGACTTGATACGATTTGCAGCAATAGAATGATTTGCATGACAAAAAGCGTGCATTCTTAATTAGAATATCGTGGGCTCTCCTTCGTACGTCTGGCCCTGAGTACCGTTAGAGGACAAGCCTCCACCAAAGATGGCCTTCTTTCATGACGAAGAATTGATTATTTCAGACACATGTGAACCACTTGAAGAACTCGGGTTAAATGCACTGAGGAAGCATAACGTTATATAGGTTTCAGAAGCAAATACGTATCTATTGGTAAAATTCAGTTTGTTCTTCGATGTCATCAATAGCTTATTTGTGAATTCAAGTCTGAAAACTCATGGAAAATTCCAATGATGAATAAAACCCTATAAAAGATCTAATTACTGCGTGATTCATAGAAATTGAATCATTATATCTTCTATTTTATTAATTATACTAATACCTATAGGCCTACTGATAAAAATACACTAATTATAAACCTCAATTACGTGAATAATATTGCTTTCGAACAAATTTAAATAAATACGAATAAATTTAGCTCTCAAACAGAGTGGCAAACCAGAGATTTTTCAGAATCAGTTCATTTTTAATTTCCTCATTTACTCAAGATTTAAACCAATATCTTATATATGACAATGCCAGTATCCATGATACCGGTCGACTCATAGGACTCAAAATTTAACTTGAAATTTGTCTTGAAAACTCTGCTTTGCCACTGTATATGCTCTCAAATCTCGTCAACTGCTACGAATGCGAAGCAGCTTAATCGAGGTCACATGGCGGTAACAAAAGCTATCTTTATACCGCCTATAAACACATCTAATCTAGGTGACTGTAAATAATGCACTTGTAGAGAACTTTAAATAATTTGGTTTCTATGATTTGTTAAGCATTTCACCGTACAACCTCATTTTAGTTCAAGACTCACTCAAGGTAACTCATTCTTTTATTCACAATCTGCGTGCGATGCATAAAGTTGCGATGAATCAATTCTAATCATTATCATCATTCCTAAGAAGGCTTGGAGAAAGAAGCTGTCGAGAGTTCCGTTACAGATAAATATCGAAAAGCAGGCCTAATGTTTTATCTTGATGTACCTGTGACTTTTTGTGAGGCTTAAACTTTCAAGTTATTTTCTGAAGTTGGTGAGAGTAAAGATGAGCAAAATTTGAGCCTACAAATTCTTTCTTTCCTATCTTTAGGCAGAACGTACCGTTGTGAATAGGTTTGCATCGCAGACAATTAAACGATTCAGTCGAATCTAGGAGGCAGAAAAAATATTTCAAATAATTAAAACTTGTAAACGAAGTTTTTGGAAGGTCACTAAATATTATAAAACTTTTGAGGCCAAATTTAAAACTAAAATGTGAATGCTAAAGAATATGCGGAAGAGTTCCATCAAGTAAAACTGGTTTAAGTTATTCTTGATCGCTGAAACTATTTTAGACAATTTATTAAAACTTCCATTTATGTCTATTTTCCATCATTAAAACTTCCAACTTTAGATGATTGAAGCCTAAAGGTATATATAATAGATTTCAATCAAATGATACTGGGAAGGCTACTTAGACTCTGGAATAATATCGAAAATAATTTTAAATTAATACAGTACGAAGAGTTACGACGAAAATTTTCCTCTTCCAAATATTTGTCCTAACATATTTTTTGTTGGTAGCTTGTCTGGACGACAACAAGGACTGCCCTAAGTGGGCGCTCAGCGGCGAGTGCTACCACAACGCTGGCTTCATGTTCGTCCACTGCCCCCGTACCTGCGGCCAGTGCGGCTACAACGGTAAATTGAAAACTGCAAATATTACTGATATTAGGTATATCACTTATAATACGAAAGTATACAGTCGTATTGAAGTAGCTCTGTTTTGGATGTGAAAACCTCTAAAACGCAAGTACTGAGTACGGGTAATATTAAATAAAAAATGTCTCCAATGACTAATCACATTCATTTTCTATTCCATAAAACCAATAAGCAATATTGATGCCAAGAATGTCCAAAAAATGATCTTCTGCAATCGATTTTTTTTTTCTTGAGAACAACACTATAATAACCTTTGCAAGTAATATAGCACTAAATTATGGCATAAATACATGTGATTCTGAATACTTATTAGTGTGTACTGTTATTCGCGGAAAAATGCTAAAATAGCTGCCGCAATTTACAGTCATCGTTTAGAAAACTTAGCCCTCATTGTTCAACGGAACTCGCTAGCCCTGATGTTCCACACCTACTGTGCTCGAGTTAGAAGTCCTATGATATCGTCTAAGGCAGATATATATTATTAAAGTTATATAATGTATAATATGACATATGTATAAGCGAATATAATGCAAAAGACAATTCATCAATGTGCAGATCCTAACTGCCACAACGCGAACTTCATGTGCGCGGGCTGGGCAAAGGCAGGAGAGTGTCGCAGGAACAAACCCTACATGGCCAAAACGTGCGCCCGAGCATGTGGCTTCTGTGTCCCCGCTAAAGGTAAAGATTAAAATTTCGATGTAATAACGACAATTCTAGTTACCAGGCAGTCAGATGCGGATAACGATGACCGTGATTCGTAGACAGAGACTCGCGATCCGTAGACAGAGATTCGCGATCCGTAGACAGAGAATTCATCTTTGTCTCATGACGGAAACGCTTTTCATCTGATTTTGAGATACGAGTAGCGTTGGCGACGGTCGATATCCGAGCAGATAAAGGATTCAAATACATGCGTTCATTTTCACAACTCATTTAAATAGTTTCTTTATGCTCAGACAAGGAATTACCTCACGCCAACTCCGCATCCCCAGGAAAACGAGCAAGTTATAGAAAGCTTCAGAAGCATCTAGAGCGGGTGTAATTGTAAAATTACCTATGTCCGCTGCGTTCTCAGTTATACTTCAGCCCTCTTCAAATTATGTACACGAAGCTCATTTTGTTTTAAATTCAAAAACAACCAACGTAGCAAATGTGATAAGTGAATTGTATGTTTATATAAATATGAATAAGTAACTTGCTGATCACCATTTGTTCTGCAGACCACAGCGTCCCTCACATTCGCCCCAACGTCGTGACGCGCTTCTGGGACAACTGGAGCGTCGGAACAAAAGCTCATCCTAATAACGTTTAATTCTTCTGCTTCCATCAATTATTCATCTCGTAATTAATAATAAGTCATGTCGCTCAAACACATTCCAATCGTTATTTCGTTCATCACTCATCGTGTGTCATGATCATCGTCAATCGTCATAATTATCAATCTCGTCATACATCATACATGCTGTAATGAACCTAACTACCGAATCGCGATATTATCGAGTGCCTGGCGTTTTACTAATTCTTGATGTGAATATTGATTCCCGGTTTTCAAAGCGGTCAAAGCTTAGGCATGTACCACCGTTAGCCTTTACTTTATGTGACACCATCTATGAAAGTTTTTAATAAAAATATTGGATAATATTGCAGAACTGGCTATTATAAATTTGATACTGATTAAAGTTATTTAGCATCTTTCGTACGATGCCAAATGTTATGCGATATAAAACAAATCAGCTGATAATTACATACTCAAATTAAGTTATTTAAAATCACTACAATGAAAGGATTAATTTCTTTCCGTATTGACATAACCGTGTGTAAGTTTCGTCAGCAACCAAAGTATAAACATCACATAGAAGGCTGAATTTTCATCGTTACATACTTTCAGAATTCATGTAACCCTAAATCGTGTGAAATTCTATTCGGCAACATCAATCGTCGAGCTAAACGTGTTGCTCTCTTGCGCGTGACAAACGAATGCGTCTCGAGGAAGCGAGATCTGAACTCGAACTCGTGACCCAAAGAACCAGCAGCTCCGCGCATCACGGTAGGCTAATATCCACGCGGGTTCCTCGTAAATTTGTGCGCCTAAAATTGGAATACTCATTAGAATAAGATTTGTTACTTTTTCATAAGGTTCAAAGCTCAAATTGATAAGGTCTTTCAATGTTTCTAATAAGTTCTTACAATTCAGTGCCAAAATACTTGAGTTTGTTGGTAAATGATAATGCATATAGATAACGTTCCGTGCACCATGATTAAAATTAGTTCAATCATGGCGCGCACCACTTGCTCACAATCATTTAAAATATGTACTACCATAAATAAGTTTGTCCTCCATAATTACGCGAATATAAATTTAGCTTGAAATTGGAAACTAATTATTCAAAGTTCAAACAACAATCACCTTAACGAACAGTTCGAAAATTTATTTAATCCTGTGCGCTGATTAAAACCGTCTGCATGCAATTATTTTATGCCTCAGATGAATATTTTTATTCAGCGTAGACGTGCCACACAAGAACAGCCAGAAGATAAAACTTGCACGCCTCTGGTGCGGCATTGCAAATTTAAGAGATCTATTATATTAATACACTTTTTGTTTAAAATATATCATGTATTCTGATCGTTCAAAGAAAAGGGAAACGAAGCACTAGAGAACGCACTGCTAGAGGCATAATTTACTCTCAGTTAACAGCTTTCTGCTACATTTTTAGTTAGCTGTATCATACTTTAGACATACTAAAGTCTAGTTAGATCTTGTGTTCCAAGTGTTCGGAATATAAGATATTACTAGACTTTCTTTCTGTTCGGGCTCCCGAAGAGGCATTATCTTCTTAATGTAAGCGCTGTTCTCAAGTCCACAATTCAAAAAGCCTGTTGAGACACCGAGAATATTTCCGATTGCTTGTTTGATAAGAAGTTTAGTGTCAATCGACTACCTAGGCAAAGTTAGCATTCATTTATTTATACCGGAAATAGAGGCTACGTTCCTGCCAATTCGATACTTATATATCTGATAAGTGTTGAAAAATTGTTATTTTTACGACCACTCAGCGGTCATGGACTCTTGAGATACTGCACAGTATTGAATATGTAGTTCAGAGACGGCGGTACAAGATTAGATCCATGAATACTAAAACAATTTGATTGATGAAAATTTTATTTACTGTCCCGCAATGAGCAAGAAATAAATTATTAAAAGCTTGTTAATCATGAAATCTAAATAAAAACTAAAACATGTAACAAAGGCTGTTATTCAACCACCTGAATTACACAATTACCCCGTATGAAATGAGAAGACGTATTGCAGAACCTTACCATATCATTTCACCGGCGAGCAGACCTAAGCCGCGACTGAAACTGAAGCAATTTTTAACAGACTTGCAAAGACAGATCAAGCAGCTTCGAATACGGTAGAATTGTAAAGACAGATCAAGCAACTTCGAATAGTGTAGAATAGGTACCAGCACGATTCTAATCCACGTAAAGATTTAAAACATTTTATCAACATGAGTGTGTTGAGATCCCGGTCGTGATGCTTGCAGGATAAATTTACCAGTTTCTCTCATCAAACAAAATGCATTCAGTTAAACTCCATTCATGTGTGTAACTTTTCAAAGCAAGCAAAATAAGAAACAGGATGGTTAAGCATCAATATAGACCATACTAAATGTAAGAAATGTAGTGGTTTTGCATCTGATCTCTTTAACGCTGTTAAATTATGAATGAAACAACTTATGAAAAGGACTATGTTATCGCTAGCTTTGGATATTTTCTTCACAGCCATGAGTTTTCTGCTCACACACATTCACACGCTTGCAAGATCGCGATTTAGAATTTCAAACTCGTAGTATTGATCATCAAACCGTGGAGCAATATTAGAAAGAGGAGAATAGTAGAACAATAGAGAACAGCAGAACAGGAAGAGCATAAAAATATCTTAAGATCACGTACTGTTACATCACAGTTTGGGTATTTAATGCCATTATCACAATATAGGCACCACTAATAAAACTGACTTCAACACATATTCCTCGAGTTAACATTTTTTTTAGAACAGAAACGAAGACACTCGTACAAGAGGTTGCACAAATCGACGCCCAGACATCCACAGCCCGCGGGGCAGAGAAATTTGCAAGCAATTACGCCAAAGTAACAACACAACGGAGACTCACAGTGAGAAACCACGACCTGTGAGGTGCGCTCATGAACAATTCCTTCGAGTATCCAAAAAACCACCTTCTTCGGACAAGCAGACACACATCAGAAGGTACAATGAGAGGCAGATATTACAGAGACAACGTTACTATGAGCGGATGTTTTCACCCTCACGGTTAACTCCTTGGAAGTTGAAATTACTGTTTTAGCGCATTTTCTGATTTTTGAGAAAATGCACTATTGTGCTCGCCATGTCCGTCTGTCTGTCCGTCCGTGACTTCATGTTTTCGTCGACGAGAAAATGCGCTCTCTGTTACTCACTGCAGAGTTATATTTTTTTAGGGTGGGAGGGCGAATTCTTACCTAAAATTCACACCTCAATGTAGGGTTTGACATTAAAAAACACACGAAAATTTTACAGGCAAAGAGATGGAAAAAAAAAACAAATAACTAAAAATTTCAGCTCCAATAGTCCAACAGTCCTGAATATCATCTATCAGTATAGAAAACATACAATGTAATAGATAATTTCCTTAAAGAACATGATTTTGCTGATACAATAAATTGTTATAAAAATAAATCTTTGAAAGATTCATAATAAAAAATCTTTCGACAGTGCAAGGCCTTCATCGCACTACGTCTTTGAGGAAAAATTAGCTAGATGAAATAAACTTGAATACCGTACATAGCTCCACTAATAGAATATAGTTTACAACACAAAACTTGTCTCTACTTCCACAAAATAATAACATCTCGGTCCAGGGAAAGTCTGTGGTCGAGTTCTCGCTGCGAGAGCCCAAACCTGCTGCAGAGGAGATCGTACGACGCAGTGCCGTCGCAGTAGCGCCGTAGAGAGAGCGACAAGCTGTTCAGGCTCTCTACCCGTCGCTCTGACCAAATCAAGCACCATAATAATAAAGACCAGCAGATCTTTTTTACTCTGTTCATCAATTAATAATTACACTGAATATGTATAACTCAGCGATCAAATTACAATAAACGAAATAGCGTAATGTCTCATTACGGCTTACTTATAGAAATAATTTAAAAATGAGTCCAAGCTAAAAAGTATATTTCTATTTTAGCAATAATAGATTGCAAAAGACAACGATCGATCGCTTCAAAGAGCACATCACTAACCGCGTCTCGCGTTCTTGGAGGGAGGCTGGGGCTGGTAGATAGGATACTTTTGGATCCTACGAAGAAGTCCGTGCATGAGACCAAAGTTGACCAGGCGCCTCATGTCGATGTTGGGTGGGAGGCGAGCAGGCGCGTCACATTCGGACGGCATGGAGTTACTGGTCGTGGAAGTGCCCAGCAGAAGTTCGCTGAAGCAAAGCTGCTTCACCGTGACACTTCGGTTGAACCTAACGAATGTTAATAAAGAAGGATGAGATTATATTATCAAGTTACGGCGAACAGGAAAAAGTACGGGCAGCATGTGCGAAGAAAAATACGAGGCAATCTGATAAATTTTTATCGAATATTCTATAGAGTAAACAGGAAACCTTGTTGCAACATGCACCGCGATGTCAAAAATTCGTCCAGCATGATTTAGGGTAATGTGGGCGGAAACTATTTTCGGCTAGATAAAATGTACTGAAATAACTCGTTCAGCCCTCCTTTGGTCGTTAATTTATAAAACGTGACTCTACTTAAGAAGTGCAGTTTTAATCGATCATTTAAGATTACGTTAGAGACACGTTATAAAACGTGACTCTACTTAAGAAGTAAGGATGGAGGGTCTCTGGTGACGTCAGCCACGACGTACTCAATGCACTTCTGCTGCAGCACCGCGCTCCAGTAGAACGTCTCCATTTCTGTAAAACAAATAGCCTTTTAATTGTGACTCTACTATTATATACATTTTAAACAAAACATTCTAGTTGAAGCGATATTTTATAAATTTGAATTTCGGACATGGTATTCTGATAAATTGTAATCTACAGACATTGGCGGTCTCAAGAATGTAAATTAAAGCTGATTTAATATCTATAAACCTAACGACGATATTACTTGAAGAAAACGCAGCCACACTTAAAAAACCTGCACTATAAGATCAGGATGTCTTAGATGACTCATGGTATTATTTGTCTTCAAACAAGAATGTTTCCCAAGCCCCACGCATTTTTCCCAAGCCAACAGAAGATGTTGCATTAACAAATATCTAAGCTAATAATTCTGTGCGCAATACGCCGTGTTGGGAGTTATTATGTAAACAAAAATCAGATAAGCAAGCAATGTTCGGGGGACACGCACTGTTGGTGTGGATATAAATATTGCAGTACTGGAAGATGGGCAGCAGCTTGACGATCTCGTAGAAGGCAAGATTCTGGACACATTTCTGCAACATAAACAATCATAATTTTCAGGATAACTGTATATATGGTACTCCACATCGAAAGGCAGAAAATCTATCATCACTTCCAATTTTGGAAGGAATAATATGAAAAACACCATACAAAATGCAATCAAGTAAAATTGACTACATAAAGTTTGTTAATTAATAAACAATAAGAACGATTAGCAAACCGGGTGATTACGTTTGTTTAGGGATAACTTAAGAAGGGAAGCAACAGTGATGTTGCTGACAACACATTGAAATTTTAAAGAAGACATTAAGGTTGAGAGCTTTCAGTCGTGACACAACGCTGGAATATGGCTACAAAAAATTATATCAGAAGTCGCCAGTTCCCTCTCAGCATTCACTCACTTGAGCAAGATCCAACTTACTTAGAGAGATCCATTTCCCTGAATGATATCTAACTCACTCTGGCGAGATCTAACTCACTCTAGTGAAATTTAACTAACTCTAGCGAGATCTAACTGACTCTAGCAACATCTAACTCACTCTAGCGAGATCTAACTCACTCTAGCAAGATCTAACTCACTCTAGCGAGATCTAACTCACTCTAGCGAGATTTAACTCACTCTAGCGAGATCTAACTCACTCTAGCATCATAAAACTCCTTCTAGCAAAATAAAACTCAATCTAGGCAGATTCCACTCACTTGAATGAATAAAAAAAATTCTCCAAAAGACCCAAGGGCTGGCAAAGTGCTAGGTACCAACTACCAAGAAGCGAAAGAAGAATGCCATGGTTGACACTCTCTAGTCTCTAGAGATCCAACTCACTCTAGCAAGATTCAACTCACTCTAGTGAGATTCAACTCACTCTAGTGAGATTCAACTCACTCTAGCAAGATCCTACTCACTTTTGCTAGATCCAACTCTACATTGGATAGAGAGGCAATCTTGGCGACGTGATCCACGCCATCAATGAAGGGCAAAATCTGCGACAGAAATGACACTTGAATGAGCCTTGGGTTACAAAGAATTCATTATATGAAAATTTAATTTAATATCGCTCATTTATTTGCAAAAATGGACTTGTAACAGGGACAAAAGAATGAAATTCAACAAAAAATTATTTATAATGGATTCTCTAGTACTCACTTTGCATAACCATGGCAACACTGAACACTGGCTGAAAGGCGGTATTCAGATGTTCTAACAGGAATAAAGTTAGGAAACTTATTTTTCAGCCACGTATCGTGACACAGAGAATAGAATCAAAAGTTATCTAGTAGAATTTGATGTCACCTGCTGGGTAGTGAGGTCGAGTGTGTGCATCTCAGCCAGCACGTCAGGCTTGACGATGACAGGAACCTGCTCTTCCCCTACAGCAACAGGGGCACCACAAGCATCCACCACCTGCACATGAGCGCACACGTCGTTAGCCGTCATGTAGCAGGAAGAGGTCATGACTGCATACAGGGATTATGGAAGTCCAAAGAAGCTCGAGGCTTGTTTCATATAGATAAGTAACATTTTATTCACATATTCCTATCTTCAAATTAAACATATTCCTATCTTCAAGTTAAACATATTCCTATCTTCAAATTAAAACTGCCCAATTTAACTGTCATCAATTTGGGCCAGGCAATATTCCAATCTTCAATAGAAATTCAATAGCCCTGCAATGCTCTCGTTTTTAAAAACAGCCAATAAATGTTCCAATATTGAAATAGAAATTGATTTTGCCAATATCTAACCGACCACCAAATAAGTCAGTATAAAGCTATAATTTACCGACCTTCAAGTAGAGCACTGCAATTTCTTCTGGCTGCTCGATATCTCTGTCCATGGCACAACCGCGGCCTCCACAGCTCTCACCAGGCCCAGGACCCCCAGCCTTGCAGAGTCCTCCTCTACTTCTAACACAAGCGCTACTGCCGCCCCGGCGATCAGGCATGTGCTGGGCTGCTGGTAACGTCTCACGTCTTCTGCGGTCGTTGCTGGCATTGCTGTTGCTGATGGACGGACAATTGGTATGAAAAAACAGGCGAGTACACTTCAAGGATTGCAATGTAAAGAATACTCAATAAACCAATCTAGCTGTCCTAAGACAATCAACGGGTCACAGCCGCATGGATTGTGTGTAATTGTTGTAACTTTGACCACCATAATAATAGTACCAGGCTGTCAGTGAACTACCTATCTGTATTGAGAATTTACAAGACAGACGAACAATGCGTTATTCTCCATTGACACTACCCATCAAATTGCAAAGATGCTATTGCTCAAATTTGTTACAGTCACCCAGCATATATTGAAGTATATGGGGAAATATTGATTATTGAATTCAAAACTTCACTGAAATTCATTCGGTCATACTAAAGTACATCATCCATGCAAATCTTTTCCATTTTTCCCCTATGAATGAAGACGGCCATCTCACCAACTTTTTACTGAGAATATTTAGGTATCATTGAACTAACTGGTATTTACCTTTATGAGCCAGTAATTAATGACACTCACAGGGTGAGCTTCCTATCAGAGCTGTTGTCCACAGGGGTTGTCTCTTGCCTTGGAGACAAGAGCTCAGCACACATCCGCAGCGGGTGGAGTAGTTTCAGCTTGAGGATGCAGCGACCTGTAAATTTAAACTGTACTCAGTTACAAGCATCATGACTTCTCACAGTGAGAAACGAAATATATATTCAACTTTTGGACCTGATATGAAATGTAAAGATTAATTATTGAATTTTTCAGTGCTCATAGGTTTCAAACACGAGATTTGAACAAAATTATGAAATAGAGAGCTGTATTCACACTAAGTCTAAGATAAAGCAATAGCTCATTTAGTATTGGCCAGCAATGAAGTATTTTATAAAGGAATTGAGATTGAGTGACAAGTGCAGCCAAAATGGCTTCATATCCTCCATAAGCTGAGTAAGGAAAGCCAGACTCTAGATACCCACCATATGCATTCAAGTGATAATATAGCTGCTCCAGCATGAGCGGCAGCTGCTTGCGACTTCCCTCATGTGACAGGAAGCTATTTTCAGTCTCCAGGCTATGAAGATACTCAGATAGCTTGTGAACCAGTGGCTCATAAGGAGAAGTGCGAGCATCAGGCTTGAAAACCAGGCACAAGTTGAATAACAGAGCATTGCGTTCATACTTTGAGTCCTCAATCTTATTAGGATAACCTTTGATTTTTATACCTAAGCTGTTGACTGTAACAACATTGCCATGAACTTCAGGCTTGGGAATTATAAAATTAGAAAATTTATCGAAAATTTCATCAGAAATACATGATTCAGGATACCTATACTCAATTCTGGGTCCTATGGTGGGATGAAATTGAGCAAAAAACAGGCCATCAATTGGCCCAGGAGTTTGTAAGACATTCATGGCCTAACTATTATTGAATGTCAGATAGTCTCTGCAAAGAGTTTCATAGGTTAATAAAAAAATTTTGTAGAACAAGTGAATCTGTATAGGCAGATTAAATAAATGGTTGAGTACCTATAAGCTGAGAAAATGTAAATTTTCATGACAAATTGTACAAAAGATATCAATATTCACTTAACAGATTTCTCATTCTGGTACAAATAAATATCAATCTACCACTTAATTTTTCAATATACTGGAGAGGATTGTTGAAAAAACTCTGCTTTCTTGAGTTAAGAAGGCTGAAGACATCCCATCTTCATTTCAGAAACCACCATATTACTATGACATTACCGTCAACCGGGGCTACTTGGGATGATTTCGAACGTTTTTCATTCATAACTTCTTACCATGAAACATTTCATAAACAAGTTTAGACTCATTTCAAAGCTCTTTGCAAGGGCAATTGCATGGCTTCTCCAAAAAAAATTCATACGTTATTTGTAAGGTGCCAGAAGCAAAAAAAAGAGTGTCCCGAGTAGCCCCGTTTGATGGGGCTACTCTTGGAATAAAAATTTGGAATACACTACACTACTACTACACTTGGAATAAAAATTGTAAAACATTTGAAGCATGCAGAGTGTAGTCATCCATTACTAACAGTACTCTGAAGTCCTCCTCTTTCATTGTAGATGATGTAGACGTAGAATAAATGACATTTCCTGTGATTTTTACTTGTTTTTCCTTTATTGATATGATATTACCATATACATTAATTACCGTATTATTGATGCAATATTACCGTATCCATGAACAGGCCATTGAGCATTTCAACTACCTTGTCCACTGCAAGCTTCATATCAGCAGCCTTATAGCACTTTTTCTGTATCTGTAAGCTTACAGGACGGCTTGTAATTTCACACCATTTTAATTGGGTTAAGTGAATTTACTATAATTAAAGATTGTGAAAAACATACTACCTGAAACAGAAAGGAATGTTTTAGTGACATCCATCATACCGAAAAATGGGGTAACTTAGACCACTTTTTTTTATAAATGATGCCATTTTTTTACTAGCTAAATTAAACTTGAATTGAAACATGCAAAATACAGGTCTATACTCTAGCTTCACTCACCATAAATTGCTGGCTCCTGCCTCTCATAGTCTTTATGTAATTTAAA